TATTTTATTTTTTTATGTTTATAAATTAGTTTTTTCTTTGGAGACTAGAGGAGTCCAGCAGTAAGTTAAACAATGTTAGTTAAGTGTTAATTATAAAGGTACTAGAAACCTATGATGAAACTTTATTTTGTACCCTTTCACTCACTTCGTAGCATGTTTATGTTGCCATGTTGAAAAGCAAAGTAAAATATAATCCACTTAAACAGTGAGCACCTCTTATTTTCTCTAAGCACTGGCTCTTTGCACTATTTTTTATTATGGAATGGTATTAAATATGAAGAATTTATTGTGGATGCCACGCAATGTGATTTAATTATTAATCATAATAGACGTCTTACAAATTTGATTGCGTTTTTAAGATGATCCTTTGACTTGTACCCTAGGGGGGATAATAGTAGGAAATATAGTTGATATGTAGTATGCAGGTCACAAAACCTGAATGATCTCTTTGTTTTATTAATATTTAATATTTATAAATATTTAGCTCTAATCTTTAATCTTGCTGAAAAAGAAATTTGCTTCCTAGTTAGACTCCTTGAAGTGAATAGGCAATTTGTTCTCATATGAAATTATTTTCTTTTTCAGTTGTGCTGGTGTACTTCAAATACATACCAGTTATTGTGACCATCCAAACCAGAATATATGTGAATGCAGATATCCATAGTGCAGACATGAAAAAGGTTATCACAAAGTAGTTCCTCCAAAATGTTTTTCTACAATCTGGTGTGGTTAGAAAAAGTAATGTAATAATAGGAAGGGATAATACCCAAAAAATTCTTTTTAAGTCTGCTTCAGGCATGTTGAAAACACTTGGTGGATCTGTTGTGGAAAAATTAAACAAGTTTGAGTTTACTCATGTCGCCCATTAAGTTAGAAACGCCCATTTAGAAAGCTATTACCTATTGAAAGAAATTAGCTGTAACAGTTTTTAAAAGACTACTTAAAACATTTGAATACCTCATTACTGATATTGTTGTCGAAAAGAAACTAATTGAAACTTCAGAGTTGATAATGTTAGATGTGATACTCAGCATTTCTTGATTTGGGCCTTAAATGCAAAATACATCAAAATAGCTTGGCGCATTTTTTAAATATGTTAGACATAGTGTTTATGAAGTGTTGTTTGAAAAAAAAATGAAGTGTTGTTTGGACATCTTTTGGTTTTCTACAATGTGGATTGTCTTTAGTGACTATTTACTTAAGGGATTAACTTGACTTCTAACCCATGTGCTTCAGTTATGTCCACTATCTTGATGGTGCCTTTGTCTGCCCTATGAATCAAGTAATGCATACTTAAGGAATATGAAACAATTATAGTATAATCCTCTTGCTAAGTTGCATATTCCATTCTACTTATAAGTGGGTTCTTTTTTTTTTTTTTTTTTTGGTCTGTTTTCATTACTCTTTTATTTATGAATTTAGTAAAAAAAAAAAATTCAGACTACCAAAGAAAGAACCCTAAGAAAATGGAAGTTAGTGAATCAATCTGTGGTGTAACTTACGAAAATTCAGTGTGTTCCTTTATTCAATTTAAGTTAGTGGAAGACAAAGATAATATATTGGGTAAATATGGGAATTTAAGGTTGTTTAAAGTTTGTATGGCATTGACAAAATGATATATTCATATATTAGATGAAATCACATTACAACTAGTGCTAATAAAATAACTCATAAAAGTGTCTCCCAAGCCTTAACCAATGTGCCGTTAAGTAATATTAGATATAGTTTTAATGCAGTCAAAGAATTGGGACTGGTTCTTCTGAGTTCTTGTTATAAAATTTAACTTAGAGTTGCATAGCTCTTATACTAGAAAGACTAGAGGCTATAATTTTTTTTAAAAAGGGGAAAAAGTCATGTTTTAAGTTTTGTAAATAGCAAATTAGAATAAATTCCCTTCTTAATGGACTTAATTAGAATTAGTATCTATTTTATACAACCACTTTATGAAAAAGTAACTAATAAACTTAAAATTCTGGCCCTAGCTGAATTTGACTTCCTACCGAACATACTAGTAGATCTAATGTTTTGGTACTGCTTCAAATGGCATTTCAGCCTCAAATATTTCCTTCTTTCTTTTCTTCCAATCCAGCCTCTTTTCTGAAATTTTCAGTTTTTTTTATAAGTGGTGCTCCCATTTTCTCAGTCAAGATCAAAACTGTGCAGTTGTCTTTGTTCCCTTTCCTGTCCCCAGCTAGTCCCTCAGTTAACAAGTCTTCCTGATGCTTTCTCTGTATTGTGTCACATCTTTCTCTTTTGTCCCACGGCTTTTACTCTACTTAGGTATCTAGTGAATGCATTTGCTTTTGTAATAGCCTCTTACAGATCTCCTTGTCTCTTACCTCACATTTCAGTTCTCTGAACATTAGTTCAGGATAATATTCCTAAATTAACAGTTCTAATACATGTAATTGCCCTCCTTACACACCTTCCACGATCCTTATACTGGCATTTAGGATGCTTCCTATCCTTCTCCTTTCTCTGCATCCTTCCTCTGCCTCCTTAGTATGCATTTGCTATACTATACTATGTATATACTATGTATATTCTCTGCATCATTGATGAAATTAAGACTTAAGTAGCTGTTACTCATTACTTGTAACAAGAGGTTATTATTTAAAATCTTACCTGTTTGGCAAGGCTTTCTCTGTTTAAATGCTTTCTATGTGATAATCTTCTAACACTCCTCATCAAATTTTGTACAGTCTTTCATTTATGAATCACAGTTACACTTAAAATTTATCTTTTTATGGTACATACCTTTATGTTTTGGCTGTTTTGTTTTCATTTTCCTATAATACGTGAAGTTCCTTAAGGTAGGGAATTCCTTTTTATTATCTCTGAATCTCTACCTTTTCTTATATAATAAGAACACAATATTTGCTGAATTGAAACGAGATTCTTATTTGTCTATGTCTTGTCTAGTGCATGGACATAATGTTGGGCAGGATGTAGTTATTACCTTCAGAAACCTGGCTAAGACCATGTAAACTTATAGAGAGCTGACAGTAGCCAGAATCTTCATGAAATATCCCACTGTCAGTTCTTGACTGCCGACGAATGAATGGTTGACCCTCATCTTCCCATCCCATGAGTGGCTGGTGTTCACTTCTCTCCTCCATAGCTTTTGCAAGACCAGTACAGCAAGAACTGCATTTCTTTATAATATATTGGTTAATTTTAATGTCGAAACACAGCACCAACACATATAATCCATATATCAAAAGCAATAAACTTCCTTCATACCTATAGATTAAAGAAAAGAAATTTGTGTTTTTAAATTAAAAGCAAAAGTAATTTGGAGTCAATAGCTTTGGGGCAGTATCTACTTAATTTTCTAACAGAAGCAGTATTAGAACAATGAAATGTTTCTAGGTATTTTTTGTTTTTTTGTAGATTTGTCCAGTTGATTATAGCATTCTTATAAATCTATAAGAGCCTGATACTTCTTTCTGTATTTAAAAAGCAGAATTCAGTGTCTTTATGTGTACTTTCTTTCCAAATCATGGGTATTAAAAAAGACTTGAAGATAATAATTGGAGATGTTCAAAATAAAACTAATAAATAATGGTAGGCATTTTCTACCTTAGTTCATAGGTGTAATGCATTTCCCAAAATACATAATAACTATAAGAAAATATAATAATAGCTCATTTCTACTTTGTCCATTCAAATTTTATTATAGGAATTTTGTGTAAAATATTCAGAATATGTCAGGGTTTGGCTGCACACAGATTTTTTGATGATTTTGATGTAGTTTAATTTGTCTTATATTCACAAAATAAGGATATTATCAAAGATAAAATTCCTTAGGTACCAAAACTGTTTTTCTGTACTCTGGCAGTTAGCTAATGTAATCACAGTGGAACCTTGCATTTACTTTTTATAGCCATAAATCTCTTATCTGCTGTAGCTAACAGAACAGAATTCCTGATTTCCCTAATAGAGGGAGTATTACCTTAGATAAACTCTCAGTCACTGTCCCTATAGACAGCTGCTGAATTCCAGAAGGATTTCCTGTCTACTGTCTTTGGGAGGAAAAACAAGACGTAGATGATGGGGTGGTTAATTTAGAAGTTCTGCTCCCTGTTAGGTATTACACAGTGCTTTTGAGTTGTGGTACTCCAGATGGGTCAGTTGATGTTTTTTTTTCTGGTGTCCTCTGGCATACCCAACCTGTGGGGCTGTGAGTTTTATGTATCTTTATTCCTTTTGATGTCTAGCATACTGATAGGCGCCTAGTAAATGCTTGATGCTTATTAGTTGAAAAAGTTGATAGCTGTCCACTAAGTTGCCTCCTTGTTTCAGTTTTCTTGGACCAGCTAGGTGCAGATTACAGTAAAAATAATTTTTAATACTGAAAGCTAACCATTATTGATTCTTAGAGGAAGAAGGCTATAGTTCTTCCTGCTAAATGAGCATCAGAGAATTTGGAGGAATATAAAGGGACTGTTTTTACTTCCTACACCATGTTTCTCCAATCTTTTGTGACAATGACCACTTCTAATGAAGGCAAGGTAAGCAATAACCCAGCAGAAGGAAAAAGCCAACTGTTTGGGCTTTAACAGATGATAGAAGTTGGGAAACTTCCTGACTGGTCAGCCAATTAGGAGAAGGAAGAGTAGTGGTCTCCAATGACTGATGAGAGAAAAAAGGAGACTGTGAGGTGGCTAAAAAGAAATTGCAAAATAGTAGAATTCAGTGAGCAATTACAACGAGCAAGTTAGTTCAGAGACCCAGCCGAATATGGTGTGGAAGTGCAGATTGACTGAAATAACATTTCTGAAAAAAGAAAGTTATGGAACTATTAGAATTTTATAAAATCCCATTCTTTATTTGTGTCATACAAGAGAAACAGTTATCGCAAGCTTACCAGTAAACTTGGTTGTCAAATATTATGCCAAGAACTGCTGCTACACTAATTGCATATGCTGCACAGTCTCTGAATAGGGGCCAACATGAGAGTGTTGAAACCTGTAAAATGATAGTTAATTTATTGTTTCCATTATAGTGTAATTTCTCTAAGTACAATGCTAGTGTAATATTAAAATTGTGTGTATATTTGTAGTTAAATATTATTCCCTTTTGCATATTGCTTAGAGGAAGAAGAATTTTAAAGAAAAAAATGTGTTTCTGAACCTAAATGACTTTCAGAAATTTGACTGGAGCTATTTGTGGGTTAACTTTAAATTGAATACATGTTCTTCTATTGATTAATAAATTTGATCAAATATATTACTAGTGCCTTGTTTGTTCATCTCATACTATGAACAGTTAATTTTAGAATTTGGTAAGACACTAAGTTATGTTGAATAAAGTTTTTCTACATACCACATTAGACAGTAAGCCACAGGCTGCACAGATACCAAGCAGGTTATAAATTGCAGATCCGAGAATGGTACTAATGCCAATATCTCCCTTTGTGATAAATACACCTATATGCAAGATAGTAGCAGCTAAGTTAGTGTTAACCTGAATAGGATAAAATTGTATTGAGTAACGCAAAAAGTATAAAAAGCAATATTTACCTAGGAAAGCAGTAACTAATTCAGGAGCTGAACTACCCGCTGCCATGAAAGTTGCACCTGCAACATCCTGAGACAATCCAAGGGCTGAACATAAATGAAATTATTGTTATGCTGGATGAAGTGAAGGAGATATCTTTATAATTTAATACAATAGATGCTCAAAACTACAGCTTCATATACAAACACTAATGTTGACTTAAGCTGCAAAACTAAAATATGCAGATTAAAAAATAAAATACATTGTTCTGGTTTCCTCATGGATTTATCACTTGGTACTTCTATAGAAAGGATGAGAAGACCAGGAGGCTCTTGGGAGGAAATGCAGCTCAGTATCCTGAGTGCCAAGATTTGGGGTCATTTGGAATCTGGAAAAGAAACCCCTTTCTAACTGAAGGGCTTGTAGGTGAGTAGCAACAGCATGACTTTAAAAGATAATTTGGGAATCCTAACAACTTGAAAGAGGGAAAAACGTTCTATAAATGAAGCTGTATCGAGCTTGCTCACAAATTTGCAATTTCAACTTTGTCTAATTACAAATGAGAAGAAATTGTTAAAGGTCTAATAAATTTGATATTCTTTGATATTCAAGGTAGTTGATTTAAAACATGGACCTGTTAAAACTTTGCTTGAAAGGAGGAAATAAAATATTACAATACCATCCAGACAGTTGTGTACATCTTTCAGACTTACAACCATGCAAGTCCATTAACTTCAGTCATTGACTGGATGAAAGTCTTAAAAAATGCTTGCACCTTAGCTGGGCATTGTGGTGGGCACCTGTAGTCCCAGCTACTTGGGAGGCTGAGGCAAGAGAATCGCCTAAGCCCAGGAGCTGGAGGTTGCTGTGAGCTGTGATGGCAACAGCACTCTACCGAGGGCGATAGAGTGAGACAAGTGAGACTTTGTTTCTAAAAAAAACAAAAACAAACAAACAAAAAAAACCTTGCACCTTTCAGTTTTAGAGCTGAGTCACTTACTATGCAAAGGAAAAGAAGAAAGCCTGGAAGAAACTACTCTGCCTTCCCTTTGAGAAAGCTGAGATGAGGTTGCATCAGAAATCTCTAACCTAATCTTGTTAGCTTTACTGGTAAGCTAACAGCTAATCAGTAGAGGTAGCAGGCTAGATACTAAATTATTTATTGTAGGTCACAAAGTTAATGTCAAAGTCAGAACTAGAATTCAGGTTTTTGAGATTTCATGGTAGTCATTTGTTGACATTTTTGTTTACTATACCTATATTGATCAGTCCATGCAGACTCTCAAACACTGGGTGCTTAATTGATTTCCTGTTACACATGGTTGCTATTTCCTCCTTATTCTTTTCTGCAGGGCCCTTGCTTGTTGCCTGCTTCTGGGACATTGGCCTTTGAACTTAATGATTTCCTTTTTTGTTGTTTCTTGGTGTGGTATATTGTATTTTAAAATAATAGCTACAATATTTCTGTTCCATATGCATTCCTTTCTATTTCCTATTTTAAAAAACAGGTAGTCTGTCTTCACTTCTGGAATCTGAATAATCATTTGTGACTTGCTTGATTAATAGAGTACAGCTATGACAGAGCCATTATATTTCTGAGACATGAAAGGTGAATACAATTCCCTCTCTTGGAACATTTGTTCTAGGCCATCACATAAGTCCTGATACCTTGAAACCTCCATACTGGAGAGACCTCATGAAGAGCCCATAAAGAAATAGAGACGGCTGAGGAATTTCTGCTATTTCTGCCCCCAAATTTTGACTCTTCTCAGCCTAGGTTCCAGAAATGTGAGAGAGTAAGCTTTCAGATGATTCCAGCCCCATCCTCTGACCGTAACTTCATGAGAGCCTGAGCAGGAACCACCTAGCTGAGCCCAGTAAACCTCCAGGACTGTGAGAGGTAATAAAGTGATTTTGGGGTGATTTGTTCAGTAACAATATATAGTCATCTGGGTACCCTTCATTTATTTGTTACATTTATTGAGTACTTTCTATGTGCCACATGCTTTTCTGTGTACTAGGGATAAGGCAATGAACAAAAGAGACATGATTTTGCTGTCATGGAGCTTTAATTATAGTGGAGGGAAACTCACACATGATAAAATATTCATTATGTTAGAGATAAATAGCAAGGAGTAAAGGCGGGGGGGAATATAAATGTCATGGGGGAAGGATTGAAATCTTAGATTGGGTAACCAGAAAGGAGTTAACTGAGAATGTAACTACAGACTTTGAAATGAAGACCATGCCTGGGTTAAAGACTATTCTACAGAGAATAATGACTGCAGAGATTCTGAAGTGGAAGGTAGCCTTTGTGTTCAAGAAATGGAAGACCTACACGTCTGGGATGAAGGGTGTGAAGGGAGAGCAGTGAGTGATGTGAGATTAAAGGTAATAGACCATGTAAGGCCTTTTGGATACTAGTTAGGACTTTGGCTTTATTCTGAAGGATAGAAGTACTTGGAAAGTCATCTACTTGCCTTCTGAGAATGCCAGCCTGGTCATTAATTTTAACTCATAGGGTCATTTGGTCTCAGAGGCCCACCTAGCTTTAGATGGAGCTATTTTGATGCTTGAGAAACCATTGTGAAAGATTCTGTCAGGATGGTTAAAATGATCCAATCCAGGCAGTCCAGCAGTCCTCAGCCATTTTGGCACCAGGGACCGTTTCACAGAAGAAATTTTTTCATGGATCAGGGTTGGGGGGTGGTTTTGGGTGACTCAAATTCATCACATTTATTGTACACTTTATTTCCATTATTATTACATTGTAACATAAAATGAAATAATTGACAGCTCACTGTCATCAGTGGGATCCCTGAGTGGGTTTTCCTGCAAATCGGCAGTCCCATCTGGGGTAATGGGAGAGGGTGACTGATGGAGCTTTGCTTGCCCACTGCTCACCTACTATGTGGCCTGGTTCCTCACAAGCCATGGACCGGTACTGGTCTGGGGACCAAGAGGGTTAAGAACCACAGCTTTATTCTATGTCTCATCTCACTATTTGCCTTTGGTTATGTCACCTGATGGACATTCTCTCTTCACTGATTAATGAAGAGAGATAATCTGTGTAGCTTACATTTTGTCTTAGTTTTGTGTTACTATAAAGTAATAATACCTGAGGCTGGGTAATTGATTAAAAAAAAGATTTATTTTGTTCATGATTGTGATGTCTGGAAAAGCTCAAGATTGAGCATCTGAACCTATTGATTTTAGGTTCAATGTTGTTTCTGTTTTACCATAGAAACCTAATACAAGTATGACACTTAGGCAGACCAGTTATAACTTGGTGGGTGAAAGAAACCCTTGCTTCATGGCCCGGGCATCGTAACCACACCCTGCCATTTTTTTCTTGGGAGTTAAGACTACTTTAGAAGTTTTAGCATATTCTAGAGAATTCAATTTATAAATGTAGCGCTGCATGAATTATCTTCTAAAATCAAATCAGGACTACATAATACATGGAAGAAAATGAAAATGAAGATAATGCCTTATTTCAAAATAACTGTTCAGACTTGGTGTTAGTGCTAGCTTAAGAATGCTTCTTTAGAAAAATCCAATCTCCAGAGAGAAAAGGTGACCTATTGGGCTGTTGCAAGGTAGAAAAATAGGTGGCCCTTGAGAACTCTTTCTGTCTCAAATAGCAGTAAGAATAAAACTTGTTGCTATTCACTCCGCTCTAATTGAATTATGAAAAAAGATTTTGTGTAGATGAATGTCTAAAACTTTGAAGATATTTTAACAAGTATCTTAAGGTTCTAAGAATATTTTATAAAATGGTTTGTACCTTTGAACTTTAGAATAGATTGGCTTTGTCTTCCTTGACCTTTTGGGTAGAATTTCTCTCTGCTATAGTTTATTATTAAAGATAAATTGTTCTGGTTTTTTCCCCTACATTGCTATTACTCCCCACCCCTACCCCATTACTCTGAAGGAATAATCACATCTCCTTCAGGGTATAGTAGAAATGTTCAAGATGAGATTTCTCCATAAGTTTAGGTACCAAAACATTGTTTAAAGTGTATCTTCATTGTAATCAGCTGATTATTAAAATTCATCAGACTTTTTCTCAAGTGTGTTCTCTTCTGTGATGCCATGTTGGTAAGTTTATAACAGCTTTTGAAAGTTGTCTTCTGGAAAAATGATATAGTAGGAAGAATACTGAACTAAAACTGAGACATGGATTCTAGCCTGCCAGTAACTTAGTGAGACTTCAGATGAGTCATGTAGACATGCCTCATACTTTGCCATCTATAGATTGGAGGGTTAGACTACATGATCTTTAAGGTATCGATTTTTTTCAGTCTTTAGTCAAAATGTAGAATATAAGTTCTTTTCCTTAAGACTGTATGCCACTTTAAATTTTTTTGTTAAAAGACTGCAGTCGTACATTACTGAAAATTTAGAGGATGGAGAGGAAGATTCACTTACACTTTTACCATTGTGTTTTAACTACTGCTCTCACTTTGATACATTTCTAGTCCTTTTCACAGTGCACATTACATACTACATACATAGGTAAATACAGTCACAAGCATGCTATATGCAGTTTGGTGTCTTTTGGCACAATGTTTAAGTCTGCAAATTTTTGTGCTTTGTCAATGTATTAGAGTTTTGGGAGAACAATCAAAAGTTATTTAGACCCAACTCTAGTGACTAAGATGAGCAGTCATGCTGAATAATTCTATTTAGGGTCCAAGAGGAAATGTGACAGCAAACCAAAATACTTTTTTGATTGTAAAACTGATTTTGCAATTAATTTCAAATGTATTTCTAGAAATATTTGAAGTGAAATCAACAGCATTGTGATTAGGAGGAAAACCAATTACTGGCAGTAAGGAATACATATCTGCTTGTATGTGCTCTGTGGTATTGTTAATAATACATAAAAACAACGTGTACCTTAGATTTACGACCTCATGGTTTGCTTAAACTATGAAGGAATTAGTTGTGAAACTTGGAATAAGGCTTCTAGTGGCCTAATTTCACTGAAAAAGGGCTCTTCCCCACTCCTAATTTAAGAACTACAGGATTACAGTGGATTTCCACCTGCCCTTAGCATAGCATAATAAACATATGCAGGACCCTTTACCTCCAACCTTACAATTACCTCAGTTTTGGATCCAGAACTTGTCCATGTCACATAGGTAGTAAATTCAGAGGTAAAATGGGAACCTAGAGTTCTTTTTGATACTAAGAAGCAGCTTACTCTTTAGGCTATCTTTGTGAGCAAAGTGAAGAGATTGATACATAGCTTTATCATCATTATTATTTCTTTTTCTTGTAGTAGCCTCTTGGTAATATACAGGCTACTTAACACTTAGATAGTTATGCCTGATGTGGATTTAGATGCAGTCCAAGGGGACCACAATTTAGATCAGAGAGAAAAGAACAACAAAGAGGATGAAATATTCTTGGGAGGATGAGTGTCTTTGTAGCAAGGAGGAAGTACTATTCTTAGATTCTTTGTTCTCGGGAAGGTTTTGCTTCTGTAAATTTCATGAGGATTAAGAATCAAACAATCCCCTGGAACTGTAGGCTATCCAAATGCCATACTCACGGAATTATTGGACTCTCAGTTTTATCAATTTAGAAACAATTCTACCTGGAATTAAAACTTGCATTTCTTTCTTATTGTCTATTTCTGAAACATAAATTAGGACATAGGCAAATATTAGTTCAAAGAAAAGTGAGTAAAATTTTTGTAATAAAATAGTAAATATTTTATTTAAGTATATTTCCCCCAACTTTTATTAAGATCATTTTCACTATAGACATATTGTAACTCAAAGATACCAGAATGATAGAGGATTATAATTTCTAATTGAATGGTATGTTAGTGTAACATTTAAAAAGAAGAATTTCATAGCTGACATTGGAATTTGGGCTCTATCAAATGACCAATCTTAAGGAATTTTCAGAGCTTTCTACATAAATATCTTGGAAAAATATTAAGAAAGCTGCTCTAAACTGTGGTTCAATAGCTCTGAGATTTCCATTACATATTATAAGGATATTTTGTTTTCATTTTATGTTAACTTTTGTTAGCTTTTGAAAAAATGGATTATTTATAGAGATGAGTAGTAATAGTCCTATTTGGACTTGAAGGTAATCTGGTTTATATTACATTTTAAATTTATATTATATAAATTGGTTTATATTTCAATTATAATTTAAAGGTATTGCTTTCTAACCTAAAGATTACTAAGGATAAAATGGTATGGGTACTGATGTGAAGGCAATAAAAGGAACTTCAAACAGAACATTCTAGAAATATGTAAGGTATAATGTTGCCACATTGCTTACTAGATAAAATAAAAGATGAATTTCATGAATTACGTCCTGCCTTGTGAAATAGTACTTGCTTTGAGTTACCTTAAACTTGGTTTTCAAGCTCTAGCAGATGTCCTGTATACTGGATTATTTGCTCCAAACACGTTTGTATTGACTTTGATCATTCACCTTCTCCCCTTTCATCTTTCCTGATCTAACCTTTGCAGTCTGTTCTCATGTAATGATGAATATTCAGTGAATGTTTTCTATGTGCTAGGTACCTGGGTAAGCAGTTCACTTACATTTCCTCATGTGCTTGGCACACAGCTCCACAAGCTCGACATGCTCTCCTATGAATTAAGGACTGTTACCATCCGGTTTCACAACTAAGATAGCTGAAGCAGAGAGAAGTTAAACACTTTGCCCAACATCACAAAGCTAGCAAATGGCCGAGTCAGGGTTTGAACCTATGCCGTGTCTGGCTCCAGGGTGAGCACTTTCAATCATCTCCCTATAGTAGTATGCCACTAGAGTGTCATAGACCATTCAGCAAGTACATCCACATAGAGATAATAGAAAAAGTGGAAAATGCCCCCAAGCAAACCATACCAGTATGGCTGTAAGACCATGTCTGACTTCACAAATTAAGCGTGGAATCTTAGAACAGGTTCCCAAATGAGGCTTACATGAATGACCAGAGACCACAGAGCTCCCTGCCTTTCGTTGTTGCCATTTGGATTCTGCTCATTTCTGTCTCTCTCTCCTGCACATACCCCTTAGAGTACCTCCTCCTACCCCCAAGTAAGCACAACTGGCAGGGATAGGGAGCTGTCCTTGGATTTGTTGCTCACTTCAACTTTATTGAATCACAGACTATCATACCACCATTAAAAATAATATTTGAAGAGTAATGATATGGCAGAATGTACACATTAAAATATTACATGAGGAAAAAGAAAGACCTGAAACAATAAATGTATTTAATAAGATTCAAAAGATTTAAAGAAAATAGACCCAAGTGATAATGGTGGGGATTGTGGGGTGATGGAAACATAGGTTATTTTACCTTTCTTTTCTATTTTCTTGTATTTCATTAATAAGTTAAAATAATATGTTTATTAAGTAATTTGATCTTTATTTAAAAAATCAATGTCAAGGTAAGATGTAATGTCAGTATAAAAAAGTGTATATTTGCATCTATTTAAGTTTAATAATTGTAATAAACTTATGCTAAGCTATTCTATAGATTTTTTTTTTTCATTAGCTAAATAGGTGGTGAGTACCTCTGCCCTGCCAGTTACTGTTTTAGGTGCTAAAGACACTGCTAGACTGTTGTGGGCAAGAAAGACAGTGACTTGCCTTGCATTTTAATTTTAGCAGGGGGGTGAGTAGGGTGATGAGAAAAAGGAGAGTTTGCATTCACATTCTTTCCCTTTGAAGAAATGGTAGCAATGCTTGTATGGTTGAGGAGGGGAGAGTGTTGAGGATGTTGCCTCCTGTGAAGATGCAGAGGGGAGGAAACCCAGCCATTAACTTAGAAGTTACTGTGAAGTGAGCAGGCTCAACCAGTTAACTAGCCAATAGGACACAGAGACTGGAACACTGGCACTTTTGCTTATATGGTGCAAAACATCACAGATGCCCCGACTTTAGGGACCAGTGTACCAGTGAAGGCCTATCCTCAGAATTCTGGTCACTATATACTGCTGGAGGAGGAGACCTGAGAGGCTTGGACTAGCTGATCTTATTTTCAGAACCCAGTAATGCTATTTAGTTTTTAATAACTGAGTGTGCGATTTCCTGATGCCAAAGTCACTTTACATAGTATGCAAGATAGTGTTGTATTTATTTATTGACTGATTCTTAAATTTATCAATTAGTTTCCTTAATGGCAGGATGCTGGGAAAGGAAGAGGGGGAGGGTGGTCTTTAATTGCATTTGTTTATTACTTACCTCTTTAGATAACGTTATAATGAGCTTATAGTAAAAGTGAGAAAATATTTTTAAGTATAGAATACAAAGTATTAGGAAATTCATTGTATTAGGAGTACATACAAAATGCATACAAGTGAAATCTTCCCAGGCAGTAGACAAACTGGAAGTTTCTGGAATTAGGCAGTATAATAATAACTGCTGGGTACCAAGTTAAAGGTGCTCTGATATATATTAACTACCAAGAGAAACCACACATTGCCAATTCCTTAAGGCACAGGACCCCACAAAACAGAAGTCCCTGCTCTGTAACCAGTTGAGATGGACAGAATTACTTCTGAGCTGTTTCAAAGAGAGCCTTATCTATGTGACACAACTCTTCCGGAAGGTTATGGGGAAGCTTTCCAGCCACTTACATTCACTGATGATTTCCAGGGAGGGTAGAAAGTACTCTTCACAGACAATAGACACAGCCATGAACATATAAAGGATAATTAGGAAGTAGATTATGATGCCTCCGTCTCTGCGCTCCTGTTTTGTGAAAAACCCTTCGGGAAACTCCGATGATGGAGAAATAACACATTGGGTGCTATTTTCTAGTAAGGAAGAGGAGATGAAAGCTTGAAGAATTTGGAGTCACACATTCCAAGCCCACAAAGAGAGCTTTCTTAAAAAAAAACAAAACAAAAAAACAACTGCAAGTGTGGCATATCTGGGTAGAATTTTAAGAACCCAGTGAAAATGTATAATGTACTTCCAAATATGATACAGTTGTAGAGCCTTTAGAAATTAGTTTTCAGGACTGAAAAGAGATGCTTTAATGAAATATGGTGATGATGGTGTAAGAATTAAAAAGGGGAAATCATGAAATCACTCTTTCTCTGCTTTATTTCTAAAAGGGAATTCTTAACCCCTTCCCTCCAAAGTTAAAGCTATATCTCTGATGAGTAAAGATTTCTAATTTCTGTACAATTTTATTTTCACATTTCTGAGCCTAAGTTGTCCAAAGGTCTGCAAAAAATCATTGCTATTGCAGAATTTCTAAGGATGAAAAGATTTTTTTTTCCATGATGGCGTTTCCAGCAATAAAACCGGAGACTTGCTTCATGATCTCCATGGATTACTTCAGAGCTATCCTAATAACTTATTTGAGGGACAAAAAGTGTTTGATATCTTTCTAAATTCTTAAATTCGGAGCAAATTTCAAGTAGGAAGTATAAGTGAAAGTTACATGAGAATTTCCCCATCTTTGCTCCTTCCTCTCTGTATATGGCAGCAGCAGCAGCAGCAGCAACAGCAGAGGTAACTGATCCCTGTATCCACCTACCTGTAGCCCTTGGGAGACGCTGGGGCAAGGAAGCTCCTGGGAGAGGCAGGTGTGTGGTGCTCCAGAGGATGCCAAGCAGTAGGGCCCGTCTTGCACATTTTGGTCCCCCTTTTGTCTGCATTTCTGCTATGCTCCTACTGCAGTGTGCAGCTTCAGGAAGAGAGGAGTAGAGGATTAAGCTGGGTCATGTGAGGAGTCTCCTTCCTGCCCAGTGCTCTGCCCAGGGCATATCTCAGCAAGACCAGCTCAGGAGTCCGGGAGATTGGAGCAAGTCAAGCTTCTCTGACCCAGAGACAGAAGCCTTGGGGAGGCTGGAGGAGATAGGGCAGGAGCAAATAACCATTGCCTGAAGCTGTTCCTGTGGCCCACAGTCTCTGAGGGCAGGGCTAAGCAGCGTACACTTTATGAAAATGCATGTTTTTATTTAACATCTCCATACTGGCTCTGCTTTTAACCTTATATAAATTTGTTAAATCTTCCATCTCTCTAGCTCTTGCTTTTGGAAGTTGTTGCTTTTTCTAGCTCTTATTTCTGGAAGTTGCTGGAAGTGGTGTTTGTACATTTTATAAAAAGGTGGCTAGCTTGGCATACTTTTGTAATTCTAGTCTTCATCTTCATTTAGGGCTAAAGGCAGGAAGGCCAGTTAGGAGATGACTGCAGTAATCTAGCCAAGAAATTATGATTTGAACCAAGGCAGTGGCAAAGGGCATGGAGAGAAGCCAACACTCTGAAGAACTATTAAGGGGATAAAGTGGATCCTATTTGATTATTGATTAGTTGTGCTTTCTGTCAGAGGGAGCTATCTAAAATGCAGTTTGATAAGCCAGATAGTGTTCAAATATAGCCTACTATCTTCTCTACTCTAGCAGTAAGAGGCTTGCCAAGATGTTAAGAATGTGTCGCAGTATAGTAACCTGTGGCTAAGAGCAGGGACTGTAGAACAGACCAGTTGAGTCCTAGCACTGCCTTTTTCTAGTGGTGTGACCTTGAGCAAGTTATTTAACCTCTGCTCTATTGTTTCACTGTCTGTGAGATAGGGATCATCTCTATTTGGGTTGTGGTGAGCAGTATGTAAATGAATGTGGGTAATTTGCTTAGAATAGCCACTGCCTGTGGTCCCTTTCTTCCTTTCTCTTTCTCTCTTTTTTTTTTTTTTTTAACTCTATCTCTCCCTTTTTGCTTTCTTTCTTTCCCCTCCCTCCCTCTCACTCTTGATTGAAATAGAAGCTTTTTTGGCTATAAAAGATTTCATAGTTTTACAATTTTCATAGTTCCTTTTCTGTGCAGAAAAAGCATAACACATTGATGTGCTTGCAAATTGTAGATTTATAAGCTGACTTTCTCTGGTGGAAAGGACTAAGTTGCTTCCTGATATTTGTGATCCTAGTTTGGTAAAAGTTCTCAGACTTCCTTCATTTTGCTGGGAATTGCTACCCATTATAAACCTCTCTGAAACTGTCATTTCTAGGAACTAGATATCCAGATGGGTAGTGTGGTTGTAAGGATGGGATAATGAGTCACCAAAACATAGCCCAGTAACAGAGCATATTCTTAACAAGCCGAGTTCCAGCTACTGTCACCCACAGGAAGCAGCATCCTGGATCACTGGCCTGTGGCCTCTGTGCCAGCTGTGGTTCAGACAGGGAAGGGGCCACCTCATTTTGTGCTCAGTGAAAGTGTCTCCAGAGCCTCTTCTCTCCAACATGTGGTAGTTCAGTCACTTCATAAAACAAAACTTCATAAATAAAACACCAACAATAGCAAAGAGTCAAACTCTAATTGTGTGTATTTTTAGACTATTATCAACTTACTTTTCCCTTTTAAAATATCTTTTAAATTTCTTGTGCTGTATAGGTCTCTTCTCCTTCTTATCTTTTCCTTATAATTTACAAGGTTTGACAATTAAGTTTGCGATCTCATCCTGGGAAAAGTGTTATAGACCTCCTTGCTGAATATCACTATGTTATCTTCAAAGTCCTCCCAACTGGAAGCTACACACCAAAACCAGCACCTAGTCCACACTTCAAAGCAGTTTTTTTTTTTTTTTTGAGACGGCGCCTCAAGCTATCCCCCTGGGTAGAGTGCCATGGCATCATGCTCACAGCAACCTCCAACTCCTGGGCTCAAGTGAGTCTCCTGCCTCAGCCTCCCA